CGTCCTTGACCTTCAGATTCTGACTCCTCAAATTACTTAGGCCATCTGCATTTTTACAAAAGAAATCAGCTTTCTGTTTATCAGCTTGCAGGTGTTTCAAGGTTAGAGCTGTCCAAGATTAACCACTATAGTCTACTGAGCTCATTATTTTTAGTTGCGTGCTAGCACAGTGTTGAAATCTGCCATGTCAGGAAATCAGCTCAGACTCAGGAACGTTGGGAGGAATTCAAAGGCCAAGCCTTCATCCCAAAGGCCTCAAAGAATGAGAGCAACAATATTTCAAGTTCACATAGAACTTAAAAGTTTACAAAATGCATTCCACATAACCCTGCCATAGGCAAAGACTTTCTTGAAATAGTATTTCAAATCATACAGTCATTAGAAGTACATATTTATCAAAAAGTCACACCATTTACTTGGCATCTCTGGCACCTTCAGCTTTCTATGCTTCATCTGTATTGGCAAAATCATTTTCTGCAAGGAGAACCATGCTGGCGTCAGCCTTTCTTTATTTCTCTTTAGGTAATCTCTCTCACTCTTTCGGGTTTTGGTTCTGGCTTTGGAGTTGTGACAGGTGAAGCAGAAAATTGTTATCTCCTCTGTGTTTTATTCTTAACCTTAGTCTTATTTCCTTTAGCATCTCCTTCACCCCGAGATCTGTTTTCTATCCATGAGTTTGTCATGTATTATTATCCCCATTTCACTGACAAGGAAACTGAAGTTCAGGGATATAAATGATTTGCCCGTATTTACTCAGTCAGTAAATGGTAAGATAAACACTTGAATCCAAGTAGCTTCGTCAGCCCAATATTAAGTCATTTGAAGTCCTAGGCTGCCAGCGCAACCCTGTTTTCATAGCAAGCCATCAGTACCAGGAGCCCAGTCAGTGGGAGCCCAAATAGTGATACACGGAAGGCAACCATCTGCTACCACTCCAGAAATACCAACAATCCATGTAACTTGAGGCAGAGACTCAAGTTGAGGGGAAGTTCTCCAGAACTCATGTGGTTTCCCTCCTTTACTCTCCCTCTACACCTCCCACTGCTTGCAAGGAGGTAATGATTCAAAGGAAGGAGGTAGGAAGGAGTCGATTTCCTTAAGATACTAGATAGACAGACAGGTAGATAGATAGGCAGACAGACAGACAGATAGATGGATGGATGGAAGGAAGGAGAGTGAAATGACAGATAGATACAGACATACATATATACATACACACACTCATCCTATAGCCCCACTAGCATTCCAAGACACGTCCCATGTCACCAAGACAAAAACTAGAACAACTCATACTCTTTTGGCTGCCATTAAATTCCAGAATTCTATCTCTTTCCCTCTGCAATAGCAAAAGTGAATTATGGGACCATTTATGAACCCAACCAAGTACAGAATCTAGGTGATTCCCACAACTTTCTCTTTGTAACCATAGCTACCTGGGGATTTTTGAATTTGATCTTTGAGTATGGAAAAGAGAAATAACCCAAAAGATAGAGAACAAACCGATGGCTCCATCTGCTGTCATGCAATGCTTTCATGAGTCAAAGAAGATCCAATAAGTAATTGAACCTAATGCTCTACTTCTTTGCAGTTCCTGGATGTGGTGCAGCTAGTTCATCAGAAGGCCTGGAAGGTGGGTGACATATTTCATGCAGTGGTCCAATTCTGCAAGCTTCACGAGGAGAGAAAGGAGCTGAAGCCAAGCCTATTTGACTGGCTCCTGGAATTGGGATGAGGCAGCTGTCCCTGTAAAGTCTTTTCATCTTTTATTCCAGCTTAGGTTACAGTGGTTTGTGCAATGCTATACGTTTTCCCATAACATTAGCAGAATTAAAAAAAAAAAATCTGCTCCCAAAGTGTGTTACATACAGGTATGCTCAAAAGAAATGAAATTAAGAAGTTTTTATTCATCATTAGAACCCGTGGGCGAGTTTTGAAATATTGTGCTTTAGAACATACTGTATCAAAGGGGAAACTCTTCTTTGCTCTGATATAGGTAAGCTTGTGAATAGGCTTGAACCAAATGAAGAGTGTTGTGGCTACATATTTTTATAATAAAATGTCGTGAAATATCTTTATTTACATGAATCAACTTAAAATTAACATTGGTCAAAAGAATTTTGTAAACGATTGTAAATCAATTTCTTGTAACCTTTACATGGTAGTCATTCAGAAAGTAACCAAACCACAAGAATACTTAAGAAATGATGGCAGAAATACTAGGTCCCTTTTAGGCTCAAAGGGGCAGCTAGTTGGTACCAAGGTGCACAGAGCACTGGACCTGGAGTCAGGAAGACTCATGTTCCTGAGTTCAAATCTAGCCTCAGACATTTACTAGCTGTGTGACCCTGGGCAAGTCACTTAACCCTGTTTGCCTCAGTTTCCTCATCTGTAAAATAACCTGGAAAAGAAAATGGCAAGCCACTCCAGTATCTTTGCCAAGAAAACCTCAAATGATGGGGTCCCAAAAAGTTGGACATGACTGAAATGACTGAACAACAACAAAATTAGGCTCAAAATGTTGTCCCTTTCAGATCTATCTCAGTAGACCTTACCCAAAATATTTCCAAGGCTTCCACTGAAATATTTCTATCTCTTCAGTTAATCTACCAGCAACTGCTACCCTTCCTCTAAAGCAACTGAAAACTTCTGTAATTATAAAAATGCTAGTTTTTCAGGGTAAAATATTGACTTCTCTAAATAGCTTTACAATCTGATTATACAATCCCTATTTTAAGAAGAACATACTAGAAAAAAAATGCTTTGAGGAAATCACCTCAGAGTTTCATTTTATTTTGACCTCTGAACTCAGTGGCTCATTTTGAATATGAATGTTTTGGAATAGTATGCTATATTGTACTACTACTATCAAGACATTCCTACGACTGGTACATTGTCATATGCTGGCACTGACATGACCAGGTTGTAGCACACACTTAATTATTCATTCTCCTGACTCTGCCAAAGAGATCGGCAATGAATTTGGGATAAAAAAAAATTTTTTTGTCATCTTTAAAGAGTTTAGAAAACAGATTTGCTGCCATGGAAAACAACAGTGCTTGTCTCTCACAATAATGTCATTACACAACAAGATTGCTGCCTCTCCTCCACCAATATAAAGTATTCCCTACCTTTTATTTTCTACTCAAAGTTTCTCAAAGGAATTCTTCAAATATTCTCCTTTTATATTAAATAATTTTGCAGATTCTGAAATTTCTGAATTGGCAGATTCTAAAGTTTAAAATAAAGGATGAAAAAGAGTCATATAATCAAAATGATTACCCTGACATCTATTTCTATCCAAGCCCATGCTGAAATGGCCAAAAAGGTTCCCTGCCTGCCATTCTTTCTCCAAAGCATCTCTTCCTTGGCTAATCAAAGGCCCATTCAATGGTCCCAGATGATTCAGATCAAGGAATTCACATTATGCCCAATGTTTAAATCAAAATTGAACCAACATACTTTGTCTAAACCAAAAGTACTTTGTCCTTGTGAAATAGAAGGGGTGTTTTTATTTTTCAGACTAACTCTTAATAATTATATGTAGCCTTTATTGTGATAGAATAAATGTTTACTTATCTTACAAAGCACAAATTATATGACTGGATTGTAAAAGTGTGATGCTGTTAAATATGTTGTACTTAATGTTGCAAATTAATCAGAAATAAATTTAAGTTACAGAATTTGGCATGTTTGAGAGGTGTTTTTTCTCCCCTAAAATAACACCTTGTGTTTTTTCATATGGGAACAGAGGCAAAGATGTGTAGTGGTTAAAAAAAAAAAAATACTAGCCAAAAGACTCAGAATTAAGTCTGGGGTTGAATTCCCCCCACATACACTCCTCACTTTATTTGTCACTTACTGTGAATTCTTGGGGAAATCACCTTACTTTTCAGGGGATTCGGTTTTGTTATCGGCAAAACGGGCCAGATGAATGTTAAGGATCCTTCTATTCCTAAAATTCCATGAATCTACGAATAACTCATACTGAAAAGCTTTGGCATATTCCCCTATTACTCTAGGAAAAACATAATTTGTTGATAACAAACAAATGTTTCTCCACTAATCTTCCTCCGTAGGACCTTTAGATTTGATTCCTTGGTAAGAGCATTGAGATGTGCTTTTGATTATGTCTTCTGTCAGGTACTGAAGGCCTCTTAAACGTCCTTCAGTGTCCTTCTGATGTTCTCCTATACCTATCTTCTGGGCTTTCTTCTCTAATGGACATTTCTATGACAGCACAGGTATTGTGGGTCAGAGGATTTGGAGTCAGAGGATATTCAAATTCCAAAGCTGCTATTGGGTGATTGTCAGTGAGGACTGTGTGGACTAATCCCCTCTTAAACCCCATGTTTAAGCACGGGAGGGCAAGGGGAAAGCCTTTAGTATAGACACTGGCTTGGGGGTCCACAAAGAAAAAGACAGGGATGGCAGCGGAAAGCTGCTCTGCCCATTAGAAAAGAGAGTTTTGGGGTGACCCACCGTGCTTTCGTCTCAGGAAGAGAGGGGTGAAGGGAGCGGCTAGCAAGAGAGAGAGAAAAGAGAGAGGAGAAAAAGAAAGGGTTTTGGGAAAGAGAGAAAAGGGAGAAAAAGAAAGTGAGAAAGAGAAAGAAAGTGAAAGAAAAAGAGAAAAAGGAAGGAAAGGAGGGGGGAAAGAAAGAAAGAAAGAAAGAAAGAAAGAAAGAAAGAAAGAAAGA